CCGATATGGAGATTGACCAATTAGCAGCAACGCCAAATTCCCTCACCTTCTGAACGAAAGCTATCTTCGACGAATCCGATGTCCTCAGACACACCCCATATAGTTTTCGTCTGTGGCATCATCGGGACGGGAAATTCATTCTCTCTCGCGATCTCATCGACGAAAAGGGTAACCCCTTACGACCCGTGAATATTACGCGCCCGACTTAGATTTTGTGAGCACCTTCATCTATCATCCCGTCGACCGCGGATTCGTTATTGAACCTAAGATCATTGGCCATTAGTTTCTCAAGTATCTAATTACCACGGTTACTTGTCCAGTTCTATGATAATCGTATTTGCATTAGTCGAAGTCTTCTCTATTGCATAGCGACACGTGTAATCCAAACGAAGATTCGTTTCACGCCCCTAACCCTAACTTTAAAGTAAACCCGACATATTTTTGTGCCTAAAATTATTCTAAGCAGTATGTTATTTTGTAATAATTATTGGTTATAATATAACATAAAATAAATAGGGCGACAATATCTAGGGGAAGATTTTTGAGTATTTTACAATATAATTTTATTCTATCCCGTTTTTTCAGAAATAGATCTAAGTTGTAGGTATTGGTACAAGAGGAGACAGGAATACATTACTATCAGATTTTGTAGAGTTTCTAAATTTTGTATTCTCACTCATTCTTGATCTTATTTTGAGATCAATCTAAAATCTACCAAAAAGGAACCAATCTACATTTTTCCCGATCAACACTTAGTAGAATTTCTTTCTGCGCTAGACGTAGATATTTTTCTGTATGATCTAATATCTTCTGCAATGGTGTTTATAGTTACAGATATTTAAATGATATTCAGATAGCACATTTCTTTTGCCTTTAATGAAGATTCGTTTAAACTATATCATATGTGTGGGATGGTGTAACGTTAGGGAAAGACGCGGCTGATTGTTTATAAACGTTGTCAAGATATGTTAATGTTGTCAAGGAGTGTTGTGAGCGTTACCAAGATTTGTTAAGGGAAAAATGAGCGTGGTAATGCTGTCAGAGTTGAATCAATCGTGGTCGAGAGAAGTTCATCGTGTTACTGTGACGTAGAAATAGCGATAAGCGAATTCGTGAAGCGCGATATTATATTCGATTTGGTGAGAGTGTTACAATATTGTGTTTATCATACTGTCTTTTCTGTTAATTTATAATAAACATTCCTACATATATATATAATACCACTACATCAGCTGTCTTTCCTATTTTAAAATATTCTAAAATAACTTTTTGTCTAATAGCTTTTAATGTCTTTCCATTTAATGTCTTTCCAGACGTAATTCATTTCTAATAATTTGAAAGTCCACGTCATCGAATCCAATCACGTTCACAGACCGCTGTCCCAGGTATGAGTCACGTGTTCCTGACTCACACGCTGAAATTTTCATGAATGCTGTTTCTGGAAGTATTTAATACATAATTTTTTTAATTGTATATCTTACATTCAGTATTTACTTTGTTCGTCTTCTTTGCTGCAATTCTCCAATCCATGTCACTATTTCGATGATCCATATAGCATCCGGCATAATGTTTTCTTGTATCTCTTGTATTATGTTACATCCTAGAATGCAACCTGGAATCCTCGAGCTTCCCATCCGAGAAAGCGCCTACTCGAAAGGTTAGATAGCGTAGTAAAGAAAGTATTTTCGATGGGAGAGTAAAAATTGTAGAAAATGCAACGCAAAAGATTAAATTAACAAACAACAAGTCCACTCATGAAACAAAACAAAAGGTTGACGAACAGTAAGTTAGACGGAATGAAATAATTTCTGTGTTTAGTGTTTATGACAGTGGAGGACCGTCAAGAGTTTCTTGAATATGGAGTACGTGTGGATTTCCTTTATTACAAAAGAGATGAGAGAGTCACACGCAACTACACGCACGTACGTGTAACGTCAATCCATATCAGAGACCAGGCCGCTGTCACGACCGATTCACTTTAAAATCGGAGATAAAGATGTGGCGGCACTCGGCGACAATGTATATCGTCGAAGTGTCTAATGAGCCATCAATATCCCAACGATCCTTCCGCCGAGTATCCGAGGAGAAGGCGTGCGTGGTGGCGATCGCGGATGCCTAACAAACTCAAGGATAGTGGGGATATTGAGGGGTGACAAAAGACAAATAACCGAATTCGATCGGAAGTCGAGTGGGTAAGAGTCGGTTTTAAAAAGTTACGCCTATAGCTCGCAAGTAAAAATTGTGAATTGTGTTAGAAGAAAAATAAAGTTTATTTTTTCTATTTTTTTGGTTGTTCTTTTGTGTTATTTTATGTGACATACGCATCACGCACGCTTTCTGAATAAGAAGCGAAACCTAATCTCGAAAGTCGGCGAGCCGAAGGAAGCGCCACGTGTCGGCTAGAAAGGTCTGTAATCGATCACCAATCGAAGGGCCGAACAAACTTCCATGTTGGAAGACACGGCCGCCGATCGCGAAAAGAAGGAAGAACGGCCGTCTTGAAGACAGAACGTGTCTGACCGTCTTGGCACAAGGTGCAAAGCGATTCGCGACAGCGATTTTCTTTTACTCTTTCTGGCTATATTCTTTTATAATTAAAGTAGATTTTTGTTTTTACCCTCAGTGTGGATCGGATATTGCGTTATTTTGCGGAGTGATTATTCCCGGACAGGATGCGAACGCGGAACCACGTGTGTGATGGAGTAAATTTGTCTTTCTTGGCTTCTTCTTGGGGCTTTGCTGGGTGTGAGTAAGTAAATTATGTAAATTGTATTTGTAATTTCCTGTGAATCTGATAGGTTAATTAAACATGCCATTTCGCGGAACTCTTTCTAATTTTCGATTAAATTCAATAGTTTGCATTTCTCTTTGATTCCCTGGTGGTTTACGAACTTTATATTACGACATTTACTTTCTTCTTTTTTAGTTTTTTTTTTTGTTATGTTTGTTATTCAAACTGAGCTCAAAAGTCAATTTTCTTACACTCTCACTCAAATTTGGTCTGGTTGGCTAGTCGGATCAAAGAAAAAAGTTGGAAGGGTGAGAAATCCGGACGTCTGCAAATTTTTTTGAAAATTTATTTGCAGCGTTTTGATTTGCTGATCATATTTCACCGCACACACTTAAATAAGGCACACTGTGTCGAGATGGACGAGGATGATGTCCATCGTGAAAGTCAACCAACCTTCGCTCGCCAAGAATACTCCGTCGCTGAATTTCTTGTGCGATTGGATTGCCTTCTTTTCTAAAATTGGCTCACCAAGAGCTGTTCCTCTTCGCGGTTCCTAGACGAGCCATATCTACAACGCATTAATTATTTTTTTTACGCTAAAGTCATGGAGCTTTAAATCTCTCCGGTTTCTCCGCCGGTCATTCGATGTATTCTTCCTGATATACAAATCATTACATATCAGATTTACATGTTCACCATTATCCAAACATTCCAATGCTTTTAATTTTATTGCAAATAATTAACATATTTCGCTTACGCTTACTACACAACATTTAGTGTATTTATCATCTCACACTAAGACAATAAATATATAAGTAGACAGAATTGCAGAAGTAACGTTTAGAATTCTTTTGAGATCACTTTACGGCCGAATGCTTGATAGGACTGATTGACTGAGAAATGATGAGGTTGCTGTGCAACGATTGCCGATTCTTTTGTCGAAATTCGCACCGTAGTAAGGAAAGAAACATAACCGATTTCCTCTGCAGGGTCGGTCAGACATCGAACTATTTCACGGTCTAGCTGAGCGTTCGAAGTTGTCAAGTCGCACCGCTCTTTAGATGTATAAGGTACAACTAATTTTATGTTACAAAATGTTTGATAAATAATTACTACAAATTGATCATTGAACAAGAAACATTTATTATTTTAAAGTGAATGATAAATAATATTTCAATAACATCTTTATTAGAATTTCTAAATAAACACATATTTTACATTATTAACTTTACTTGATAAAATTATTATAACTAACTATTACTATTAATATAACTATTACTTGATAAAATTTGCAAAAATTTATACATTATCATACATAATGCAAAACATATTTTCATTTCACCACAGTCTACAGGAAACCATGTTTCCATATTTTTAGTCTTTTATTGTTATTGTTCATTATTTGCGTATAGATTCGTCTCTGTGACAACATTTTCTCAATATATATTATCAAATATTATATTAGAAATGTCTAATTCTTTTCTGTCTTCACCTAACTGACTTAAAGTTGCTACTTTTATGCTAGGAATCTTCGTACAGTTCCAGATTGTTGGTTCATTAGCTTCTTTCTAAATCCATAGCTCTGATTGTTGATGATTACTGTGATTTTCATCTTCAGTATCATCTTCATTAACTAGTCGCTTAAAACGTTTTGATAAAGGAATTAAAATATCACTACTGTCACTTTATTTAAAATATCTATCAAATCACTTTTTGCGATGTAAGCAGAACTTTCACTGTCTTCAACAACGCTTAACATCCTTTTTGAAGACATTTTTAAGACATTTTGAAGACATTTCTAATATTTTTCAAGAAAATATATCTGGCCAAGAAAAAAAATGTTGTTTGTGATTGGCCCGAAGGACGTACAACGTTTCGTGCTCGTGTTATACATAATTGACCAGAAAAGACGTATTTCGTTTTATGGTCGTGTTCATTATGTTTGGCCCGAAGGACGTACCATGTTTATCGCACGTGTTGTTTATAATTGACCGAAGAACGCACTACGTTTCATGTTCGTGTTCTTTATGTTTGGCCCGAAGAACGTACCACGAGTTTAACTCGAGGATGTAAGTTAACGGGTTAACTCTTTCTTCGTTTTTATTTGATGTGGCTAACAAGTGTCTGATTATTTCTTCCTGAGATTGTAAAATTGACTTTTATTTGGGTGCAGTTATATTCTCAGCAGCATATTATCTATTTATATCATTATTATCAAAATTGTTATGTTATTTCCCTGCCTAACAATACGTTCACAGGACTTTCGCTTTCCGTTTGTTATTATTGTAGGTATGTTTTTTATTTTTGCGTATTGTGCCATATAGTTCGCACTCCTTACCTTTTAAATATTTTGCTAGTCGAATACTTGTGTAATAATTCCTGTTATAATGATTTTTCTCTAATTTAATAACGACTCGCACAATTTTGCTATCGTGGTACCCGGTTTGCCAAATCAAAAACAGTTTTGTCCTGGCTACTGTGAATTTTGTATGACCAAATATATTCTTTTGCCGTACACAGCTTTTTTTGTGGTATCGAAAAAATAATCTGCTACAAAAAGGAATTATGGATTCATCAACAACCATTACTGCTCCTGAATTATATATTTTTCCGCAATTAACAATAATCACATCAATTAAATGTTGAATTTTATATGTATGGTCGTTGTTCGATGCAGAATTATTAACGAAAATATAGATTTTCTAAAAAAATACCTAGGAAATAGAAAGTTTATTATATGGCATTTCTATATTGCGTATGTCGGAGAAGGAAAGACAGCGGGATTTCCCGTTCGGAATGTTGGGACAAACCCCAATACACTAGTCCAGACTTTTACTATAGCCGCCCTTAAGTAATAAAAATAAGAAATAGTCTTAATGTTCCAATCTGACTTTATGACGATGGGTTTGGGCTCGAAGTGACATGGCAGGTCACCGGACGTAGCCACGGTCACGGGAGGGACATGTACCTGACAGAGGTATGAAATGATTATATGGCTCTCCTTAAAACAAAGATTAACCCGAGGAGCGGGGACAGGAGTATATAAGGGCAGCCTCTTTTGGATTGACGGAGTCAGAGTGAGAGTTAGAGTTAGTCAGTTAGTTAGTGAGTCGTTGGACGATTGAGTTATCGGGAAGTTTCCCGAATCGAGTAGCACGTTGATACGAGTCCTCCCGTGGACCGTGGATTCGTTGTCGAACCTGAATTCGCTGTCACCATCATCCCGACCATCCTATTACCATTACTCGTAGCCTCTGGTAGTGTCCACATTCGCACTGATAGAGATTGGCTACATTCGCGACGGTAAAGTAAGTAAAGGTTCGTCGAACGCCCAAGTGCCAACCCGCCTCCGACATATATATATAGTATCTAGTATATAGTAGTTTGTACTTTAGTTAGTATTATAGTATATTAGTAATAGTTCTAAGTATATATCAGTATATTTATATATATAGAATATACTGATACGAGTCCTCCCGTGGACCGTGGCTACGTCCGGTGATCTGCCATGTCACTTCGAGCCCAAACCCATCGTCATAAAGTCAGATTGGAACATTAAGACTATTTCTTATTTTTATTACTTAAGGGCAGCTATAGTAAAAGTCTGGACTAGTGTATTGGGGTTTGTCCCAACATTCCGGACGGAAAATCCCGCTGTCTTTCCTTCTCCGACATCTATAAATGAACAATAATATAGTGAATCTGTTTTCCACTGGAATTCCAAAGTAGGAAAATTGAATATTCCAGTTAGTGATAGCACACTAAGGAATGTCGTCATTTCGTTTGTATTTCTATCCATTCATCTACTCATTTGAGATTGACAGTGGGATAGAATATTTTTCTTGGCTTCATTGGCATAAATATTGTGCAACATCAACTCTAAGTCTATGTGATCAATTATAGGTGAAAAGATTGAAAACATATCTGTTTTTGAACCGGAGGGTGTAAACTGAAATGTCAAATCTTCACATCCTAAAAATTTTTCTCATGATAATGCTGTAACAGTTTCTGACCATAACATGTCTTTTTCAATTCCTCTTTATATTACAGAGATAAATTCATGATACTTTTGTCACTTTTGTCACTCGCGGAACCACCATCGTTCGATGTTAAGATATTCGCTTCAATATCTCTGTCGTTCACATCCGTAACGAAATAAGGATAAAATGTCCATGTACTGTGTGAAAAAAGATATCTTTATACTATTAAAATCTACGAAAAACAGAATTTACAGAACTATAATGCATTACATAGAGAGTACAATAACTATATTCTCTACAAATAAAGACAATTATGTAATATCTATATACACAAAAAAAGTTTTCTAAAATTAGATAAATAAACTATTAAAACTTGATTTTTCAAAGAATATATTTTGTATGACAAAATTGATTTGCTGCAACATAAGATTGTTTCAAGACTAGATGCTATGGAAAAGAAATAACGACCTGGTTTGTCTGTAGAGGTCTAATTGCGAAGAAGATAACACCTTTCACGGTACGCGAGAAGTGCGTCACTTTCTTGGACGTATGGGGGCAAAGTACGTTTTCTAAAATTATTGTGAAATTAGATATATTTGTTCATAGCCGCAGTTGAAAAATATTGACCGCCACTATTTTTTAATTTATTGTTTAAATAATTTACGAGAATTTGACCGTTGTTAGTCATAATCGATTGGATGAATCCCAATTCTTTTAGGTTTAACGTCTCGCCGAGCATAAGCATGTTCGCTTAAAAGAATTATTTCTTATAAAATGGCAACTAACAGCAAAGGACTACTTAATTTATATCAAGTATAGGAGTGTTACTATTGCCTAGAAGTAATTTCAATCTGTAACATTAAGTAACTTGAGATTCGCGCCAAACGTGAAATAGCTTTTAAAAAACGAATAGCCTGAAGGTTAAGATGTTCTGAAATATGAACCATAATCTGAACCACCAAACGGAAATAAATCTGTGGTTTTATACTTACTTTCAATCACTGAATTTATATTATTATGAATGTGAAGGTTTTTTATAATAGTCAAATAATCAATAAACACTCTTTAATGTTACACTATGCATTTTGCAATAAACGAACAAATAAAATGAAACAATAATGTGTCGCATCATTCGTCTTTTTAATTTATTTCATTGTTGATTAACTAGTATCAAAGATCACTCTGCATTTCAGTAAGATGTATAGTATGCATATTGTACATGGATAAAGCATGCACTACTATTTATATTTTTTTACGCTGAATTTTGGATTTTTTTCTCCTCGTTGTATGATCACTGTGCAACGATGCTGC